AGTCTGTAGATTTTTCTGCTGTAGCTTTAGATTTTTTATGCTGTGAGAAAATCCTACTGCCTTTAAAGCCATAAAATAGTTGCTTTAGGAAAATAGTAAAACGAACAAAAAAAAACAAGGCTGTAGAGGCTGTAATTTTAATATGAGACCCACTAAAATACTTAAAGTCTGATTGGTAAGTAAATGTTGTAAAAAAACTTAAAGAAGCTGTAAAACATTTTTAAAACCCAACCAATCACACCCTTACTCGACTATTATGGACATGTACGTAAGAGAAGATTTTGTTTTGTTAGAACATGATTATAGGTAGTAAATATGTTGAGGTAAATATATGAATTTTATAATATTAATTGTATTGAGATTGATGAAGAGAGAGATAGATATATAATTATCTCACTAAATATGGATAATATAGTGACTATATTTAGAAACTTAAATAAAGGTTTTGATTTAATTAAATAGGTTTACTTGTTAAAAATCCACTATATTTATTTTTATTATCCATCTCTAATCATGTTTTAAGTGTTTAAAAGAAGCTTTAAAAAATAACTTTTCCGATAAGTTAAAAAAAAAAAAACATTTCCGATAAGTTATGACGTAACATGGCATTTTACTCGTTGTTGTGTAAAATCAAGTTTAATAAGATTTTTCTCAAAAAGAATAGTTTGATAAGAGTTATTTTTCACATTTTTAACACTCCGGCTAATAAACGCGAGATTTGAAATCTTGAATTTAACTTTATCAAAAAAAAAAATTTTGTTAATAGTTTATATTGAACTTCAGTATATATGTATCCGATCCATGCATGAGAAAACATAATTATTTTTATCCAATACACAAGACTTACATGACAACGACTAATGAATATGGACACCACATTAATTCGATGACATGTACTTGTAAATAAGTGTTGGTTTTTCTGGAACACAAAACAATTATTCATTCATTTAGTATTTATAATATACAATACCATGAAATGAGAGGATGACACAAATATAAAACCATCTACAGACTGCCTCGCACGTAAAGAAAGTGTCTAAAAATGATTTTGTATTAGTAATATAAAATTTGGAGCCATATTTGGTGCATTGTAATCTAGAAAAATACAAACATTATTTTATTTGAAGAAACTAAAAAATGTTAAAAAAAATATAATAATTTAAAGTTTGATATTAACAGTAGGACTTCCAAGAGATTGGAGCTGTCATTAGAATGATAGTTTTTAAATTTAATAAGTGGACTGATTCATGTAGGCCTACACTACACACCTCTTACAACTCCTCATAGGGGCCATTACATTAACTTAATATTTCGTACGCAATTTTCTGAAACGAATAATCTTATAAATTTTATGTTCCAAATGTAACACCGAAACAAGCGATGTGGAATAGAAGTGAGCGAACCGAGTGAAAAAACATATACTTGAACAACATGTCAGAGGTGATCTAAAAACTGAAAATGTATAATAATTGTTAAATTTTTATTTATATAATAATGTTGATCGGTAAAATTACCACACAAACTCTTTATAAAAATAAACTAACTTGTATACATTCTATTTACATTTTGGATTTAAAACAATGAAAAGGCATCGAATAAAACATCATTTTTTTTTTGGCTTAGTTTGACAAATGTATTTGTCGAGGTGAAACTATCTCCACCGTCCAAACCTCTAGTTCTTGAGCTGTTCAAACGCAAAAGCAACGACTAACATCTAAAACTTCATACCAATTACTAGCATTACCGACGAAATCATTAATTGTTCTTTCAAACTCTATCATCTTCTTTAAGCTTAATTTTTTTTGTGGGTAGACATACATTCCAACAATTTTCTTTTACCCAAAAATAAGTCGACTAATTGGTTTGAATACCTTAATAATATATATATATATGTGACTTGGTACATAAACCCAAAAAGAAATAAAAAAAATTAAAAAGCTCGGGTTTATCCTTTTATCGGTAGCTTTTTAATTTGTCAAAAGCAAAAGAAGGCCGAAGCTGTTTGGTTGGTTTGTCATTGCTGGTGGTGCCGTCTTATATATAATTACGTTCTTCCACTAATAAAATATTGGAACAATTGCAAAAATGTCATTTTTTATGTGCATATTTACAAAAATATCATTTAAAAGTGTCCATTTGCAAAAATACTACTAATTATAGATTTATAAATCATATATCTTAAAATTCTAAACCCTAAAAAATTGTTCGACCCCTAAAACCCCCTAAGCACTCAAAAGTAAACTCTAATACAACATAGTTAATCCAAACATAAATTATATAATAAAAAAATAATTTTGAAAAAGTGACATTTTTGCAAAGATTTTGAAAATGTTGCATTTTTGAAAAGTGACACCTGTAAAATAGCATTTTTTTAAATTCCTTTAAAATATTGAATTTAGCTGTGTTATATTTCTTTTGATTTTCCAATAAAAAATTAATAATTAAATATGTCTTTATATATTCTTAACAAATGATTGATGGGCAGGTAGAGCTTCAGCATTGATTAGCAAACCATTACGTGGGATTTTCATTTAGTAATAAAAAAGTTTATAACTTGTTTTTTTTTAACGACAATTTTA